CCTGACATTCATAGAGTTTCTCTCCAGTGTGAATTCTCTTGTGTATATTGATGCATAATTTTGAGAATGTTTTCCCACACTCCTGACATTCATAGTGCTTCTCTCCAGAGTGACTATTCTGATGTCTACTGAGATATGACTTAACAGGAAAAAGTTTTCCCACACTCTTGGCATTCATAGGGCTTTACTCCGCTTGAGTCCTCTTATGAACATAAAGGCCTGAGCTAGTGTAGAAAGCCTTCCTACACTCTTCACATTGATAGGGCTTCACTCCAGTGTGCCTTCTCTGATGTCCAGTGAGATGTGACTTACGGGAAAAAGTTTTCCCACACTCCTGACATTCATAGGGCTTCTCTACAGTGTGTAATCTCTCATGGATCTTGAGGGTTGATTTCCAGGGGAATGTTTTCCCACACTTCTGACATTCATGGGGCTTCACTCCTCTGTGGCTCCTCTTATGACTATAACGTCCTGAACTGCTTTGGAAGGCCTTTCTACATTCCTGACATTCATAGGGCTTCCCTCCAGTGTGCCTTCTCTGATGTTTAGTGAGATGTGACTTATGGGAAAAAGTTTTCCCACACTCTTGACATTCATAGGGTTCTCTCCAGTGTGAACTTTCTCATGAATACTGAGGGATAATTTCCATGAGAAGGATCTCCCATACTGCTGACATTCATAGGGCTTCTCTCCAGTGTGTATTCTCTCATGCATATTGAGGGCTGATTTCCAGGAGAATGTTTTCCCACACTGCTGATATTCATGAGGCTTCACTCCTCTGTGGCTCCTCTTATGACTATAAAGTCCTGACCTGCTTTGGGAAGCCTTTCTACATTCCTGACATTCATAGGGCTTCACTCCTCTATGAGACCTCTTATGATTATTAAGGCCTGACCTACTTTGGAAAACCTTTCTACACTCTTCACATTTATAGGGCTTCGCTCCAGTGTGAGGTTTCCGGTCAGTGTGATTTCTGTGATGTACGGTAATGGATGATTTCGAAGAATATATTTTTGTACAGCCTTGATATTCATATGTTTTCTCTGTCATGACTATTTGGTGATGGTAATTGAGGGCAGATTTTTGGGGTGAAGTTTTTCTACATATTTCACATTCACAGGCTTTCTTTCCTGTGTGCTTCTTCTGATGGTTACCAATGTCTGGCTTGTGGTAGAAAGACTTTCGGCAATCTCGACATTCATCTGGTTTCTCTCCTCCATGAGACCTCTGATGTTTACTGAGGGCTGGTTTGCAGGAGAAAGATTTCCTACACTCTAGACATTCAAAGCGTTTCTCCCTTGGATGTGCTCTCTGAGGAACGCTAACAACTGACTTCTCTGAGGAAGTTTTCTTAATTTGTCTACATTTATACTACTTCATTCCTGTTTGAGATTGCGAAAGTTTCCCTGAGAAAGTTTTCACGCAATGTTTAGCACCAGTTTCTCTGTAGTGACAGTTCTCTGATACTGACTTTGGAAGGAAACCTCAGGGGTTTCCTCACATTCATAAGGTCCATCATCTGCTTGCATTTTCCCATGTTCAGGAAGAACAAAGATTGTAGGGCATGTGTCACCATGTCTATTATATTCATGAGGAGTCTGGCTTAACTGAGCAATCTCTTGGTGACAGCTGTGAAATGTGTGGCTGAGATTGTGCCCACTTTCAAAACATGTCTGCTGCTCACCTTTAACATGTCTGTACTGATTCATATTTACTGGTTTCACATTAACAGGTTCCCCTGTTTCACTGTACGTAGGGGGAGGCTGTCCTTGTGTTCTACCTTTGATGATGAAAGGTGGCTCACCACAGGTGTCCCAATATTCCTTGTATTTACAAGTAGTCTCTTCTGTAAGTGCTCTTCTCTGTATAAATATTAATTCCTTCCTCAAGTCTTTTCCTTGCTTACAAACTTCAAAAGGCTGATGAAAATTCTGAATCACCTAATGACTGATGCTTTTAGGATATCTGATGGATCCCCTCATTTTATTAAACACCTCATCTGTCTTTCTAGCATTCTCTTCATGAGGCTCACCAGGGGGAAACATGTTTCTATACACAGGAGAGACCTCAGGCATCACTGCTGAAATGATACGGTTTTTGATACTTTGGCTCATACTACGAATTGAGTCTAAATTACTTTTTTCCCCTAAGTCATCTGTTCTCTCATTGATGGGTATTTTGCTCTTGGCAATAAGAACTTTCCAGAAATGTCTGGTGTGGATTTTAGCGCTGGTCCTGGTCAGGTAATCCACAATATGGACATCTAAAAACAGAAAAAAATGGCCATTTATATAAATAACTAAACATTTTGAGTGAATGCTACTAAAAGGCATAAAAGTTTCTATTATAGTACAATTTGATGAGTATCGATATTCTAATTTTTTTTAAAAGGATTTATTTATTTATGCATACAGAGCTGGGGTACAAGCCAGAGGTGCAGGGTGGTGAGAAGCTTCACCAGAGACAGAGTAGGAGCAGAACAGGCAGACTGACGAAGTACACTGCTGAGGAGAGCAATGGGCGGTCAGGAGAGGTCTGTCGTGTCATGTTGGTCACCTTAGGGCTAGAAGCGAGCTCAAGCTGAAGTTGCATTAGTTTCTCAGTGCTGTGCTTTAACCCACTGCGCCACCAGGGAGGGCCCGATACTCTAATTTTTTAAAAAAGATTTCTTTATGCATACAAGAACTAGGACACAGTAGGCCAGGGTTATGGGGGTTGAGAGGATTCAGGAGAGTGGGGAGCAGGAGGGACAGATCAACTGAAATACACTGCTGAGCAGAGCAGTGGGCAGAAGAGTCTGTTGCTCCATGTAGGTCACCTCCCTGGTCAGAGTTTGAACTCATGGTGCTAATGCTGCCAAGAGCTTCATACTACTAGATTTACATGAATTGGAATTGATTTTCCAATTTATACTTTTTCACATAACAAATTATGAAAATAAGATATACTTCTATCAGTATATTGTGTACAAGAGCTGGGGTGTAGGCCAGATGAATAGGCATTGTGTATATGTGTCTGTGTCTTTGTGAATGAAAGCAGGCAGCGTGCGGAAAACACCAGGCGGAACAACAGAAATACACTATGGAGGAGAGCAGCACGTGAGACAGAAGAGGTCTTCAGTGCTGATTTTGGCTTTTGTGGCAATTTGGGTCAAATCTTCCGTGAATCAAACCAAGGTCATACCAGTGAGAGTGCTGAGACCTAAGCCACAGGCTTCCAGGGAGGCTCCAAGAACAACCTGCCTGTTCCAAACCAGGATGACGAGGTAGTAGAAATAGCTTACTTGATATTGTGTTGTTTCAGTTTTTCTAATAATTTATTTTTACATCATTTTGTGCCTTTTTCCATCTCATGTAATCCTGTGGACTTCCCATCACCAATTCACCTGTGTGTCATCACCAAAGTCACATGCACAGTCCATCCCATTTTTGATCCCATTCCATACTCCACCCCTGTGAAATGTCTCCAGTATACAGTTGTTCATTATTATTATATGTTTTTCCCCAATGGTCCTTTATGCTCCTGCTATGAGTGAAACCATCTGGAATTTATCTTTTTCTTTCTGGCTTATTCATTCCACTAAGCATGACCCCTTCCAGCTCCATCCATGCTGCTGCAAAGGGAATAGGTTTATCTTTTTTGATCGCCGAGTAATATTCCATTGTGTATATTGACCACATCTTTTTAATCCAGTCATCTACTTTTGGGCATCTGGATTGATTCCACACCTTTCCTATTGTAAATAAAGCAGCAATAAACATGGGGGTGCAGGTGTCTTTTTGAATCAGTGTTTTTGTCTCTTTTGTGTGATACCTAGGAGTGGGATTGCTGGGTCACATGCGAGCTCCATTTTTAGCAGTTTGAGAAACCCCCAAACATTTTTCCATAGTGGCTGTAGTAGTTTGCATTCCCACCAGCAGTGCAGGAAAGTTCTGTTTCCTTCACAACCTTGACTACACTGGTTGTTGATAGTTGTTTTAAGATGTGCCATTCTCACTGGTGTGAAATGATAGCTCATTGTAGTTTTGATTTGCATCTCCCTTATTACAAGTGATGTTGAACATTTTTTCATATGCTTGTTGGCTATCTGCATTTCCTCTTTGGAGGTCTTTTTAGCTCTTCTGCCCATTTTTTTCATGGGGATGTTTATTTTTATTGAGTTTCATCAGTTCTTTGTATATCTCCATGATCAATCCTTTATAGCAAGTTTTGTGTGAGAAAAAAATTTTCCAATCAGTAGGGTGTCTGTTTTTTGTAATGTCTCTTTTGCTGTACAGAAGCTCTTTAAATTGATGTAGTCCGATCTGTTTATCCTTTCTTTCCCTATCATTGCATTTGATGCTGTATCTTGAAAGATGTTACTGAGGTGTATGTTGTGTAGTGTTTCGCCCATCTTTGCTTCCAGGTATTATATGGTTTCCGTTCTTATGTCTACGTCTTTAATCCACTTCGTATTTGTTTTTGTGCATGGTGTGAGATAGTGATCTAGTTTCATTTTTTTGCATGTAGCTTCCCAGTTTTCCCAGCACCATTGGTTGAAAAAAGTTTCTTTGCTCCATTATATCTTCTTTGCTCCTTTCTCAAAGATTAGCTGCCCATAAACCTGTGGTTTATATCTGGGCTTTCTATTCGAATCCACTGGTCTGTGTGTCTGTTCTTATTCCAGT